GATGAACCTCCCCCGGAGGTAACGCCGGGGGGACGGGCGGGCGACAGGAAGTTCCTCTCCCTGCCCGGCGGTAGGGCTAGCCGGAGTAGCAGTAGGACCGGAGACGGAGGCGGAGGAAGAAGACGCGACGAGTGCGCCGGGAGAAGGAGAGGGGGAGTTGAGGGGCAGACGGGAAGCGCAAAAACGGCGGCAGCGGCGGCGGCGGTGGGTGGCACCGGAGGTAGCGGGAGAGGCAGCAGTGGTAGGCAGGGACAGGGAGCCGCAGGCGGGGGAGGGGCGGCGGTTAGGTGTGAGGAAGAGTACGTGGCCAAGGTGTTCAGCTATTGCCGGCACGGGCGGCTGGCGGAGGTCCAGGAGGCCCTCGGGTCGGGTTTCGACGTGTGCAGGCGGAGGGACGAGAACGGGAACACGCTCCTGCACTGCGCGGCGCAGAACGGGCTCCGCGGGATGTGCAAGTCGGTGCTGCAGGAGGGCAGGGGGCAGCCGCTGAATGTCAAGAATGTGAGAGTTTTTTTCTTTTTGTAGCTCCTACTAGTACAGAGGTTGTAGCAGCGCAATTTTGTTTTAAGTTTTTTTTGCGGCGATCAAACAGGAGGAGCGGAGACGTGTGTCGGGTCATGGTTTTCGGTTGCTGTCCAAGGAACAACGCCACTATCTATACCGCTGCCTGTGCTCAATCGTTCACACTGCTACCATTTTTTCTTCACTTCAAATCAGCGCTCACCGCACTGTAGTGCCGTTTACTCCAACCCGTGGTCACACAGAAGAGCCCCTCTCTACCCTCCCCTCTTGCGGTACTTTGCCTTCGATTTTTAATGCGAGAAGAGTTCAGCACTCTCTTCCCTCCGTGTACACACGAACTAGCGCTATCCACAAGGCCAGGAGCGGAAGCGAGAGACAAACTCACCTTACAAGAAAAGCTCGCTTACGCTGGGATTCGAACCCCTGACCTGACCTCTAGAAAGGTTTCGAGGACACCAACTAGACCACCGGGGCGACCGCGGGGCGACCGGCATAGAGATGTTTTTTGGTCCCACAATGAATCCGCGGCGCCATGCCAACGCGTCTTTCACTATGCCCGACGCTCCTTGCTGCCTGAGTAGGTCGGTGCCCCCCTGTGATCTACAGAAAAATGAAACGATGTTTTTGCGGACCCTTGTTACAATATTGTTACCCCCCGCCCCGCCTCGCCGCTCTTCTCTGCTTGGCGTTTTGCTATCGTTTTTTCTGGGCTCTTTTACCACTTGTGGGGATTTGTTTGGTGTTTTTGGAACGGATTCTTATTTCTGCAAAAAAAAAAAACCCACAAGAACCGCGGCAACACGGCGTTGCACTACGCCTTCGCCTTCGGGTTCCAGCAGCTGGGGAAGTACCTCGCGTCCAAAGGAGCGGACGACAGCCTTCTTAACGACCAGGGGTGAGAAGAAGTTGGTCGATGCTGGTTGCTTTTTCTTTGTTTCATTGTTTTGATTATCGGCGCGCTCACATAGCGCAGCATTTGTGCCGTGCGAAAGGGGCGCTCCAATCCGTGGCGGTCACACGGAAGGGTTGCCCCTCCTTCCCATGCATCCGGACACGGAAGGGTTGGCCCTCCTTCCCATGCATCCGGACACGGAAGGGTGGGCCCTCCTTCCCATGCATCCGGACACGGAAGGGTTGGCCCTCCTTCCCATGCATCCGGCGGTGGCGTAGACGTAAGGAGCACACGGCCTGCACTCAAAGTTACTCTTTAGTATTTACGGCGTTTACAATATACCAGGGAAGATCAGTTTTTTTTCTTCTTTTTGCTGAAAGCCAAGCCGTGAATGTAAAATAAAAACACAACCAAATAATATAAAATAATCATCACGCCCGCTTACATGCCAAACACGCCTTCTCCTTCTCCCTTGGGTGCGTGAAGGTTGACGTGCTACGAGGGGCTGGAACGCCAAGACCTGGAGTCGTTGTGACCGCGGCGGACACAAGCCAACAGCGGGGGGGTGGTCCGGTCCACTCTCAGGACACCGCTGTTTTTTTTTCTCAGGACACGCTCTTTTTTTTTTTAAGAGTTGAGTGTCCTTACAGCGGGACAACCTGTTCCGCCGTGGCACCTACGGTCGAGACCCTTATCGGGGCGGTCGCGTATTCTGTGCTAGCCGGGGGGGGGGGGGGGGGGGGCGATCCTTCACATTAACTTCCACAGCAAACAATGGTTTGGGAGCAGACGCTATTGGTGGAGGAGCTACGGGACAATACACTGGTGAATCTGGATATATCGCTTATTATGAGATTTGCCAAAAGATCAAGCAGGGGATGACAGTCGTTGAAACAAGCAGTGCAGGTGCAACGTACGGTTACCTTGGTAACTACTGGGTAGGGTATGATAGTGAGGCTAGCATGATCCATAAAGTTCGATCACTGATTAAAGGGCGCGGCTTAAAAGGAGCCATGTTCTGGGCCATCGACCTCGATGATTTCACGGGTAGCTTCTGCAATAACGGTAAATATCCACTCATGAATGCCGTGAAAAATGAACTAACTTCCGGACAGCCCGTTACTACACAACCACCGTCAGAAACAACCTGTGAAAC